GCAGTTCCCAGGCTGGAGGTGTTACGAATAAAGCTGCTGCAAATGTTCACGTACAAGTTTCTGCACGAAGACAAGACTTTGTTTCTCTGTTGTAGGCGCCTAGGAGTGCAGTCACCGGGCTGACGGAGGCCCATTTTTAGTTTTAAAGGGAACTGCCACACGGTTTTCGAGCCGCTGGCTCATTTTCCCTGCCCAGCAGTTACGAGTGGTTCTCTTTTAAGGCACCCAAGAGTGAGGGTAACCCGAGTCAGGGCTGAGAAGGGCTGGGGTTAAGACCTGACCACTGGGGCTTCACGTGCCCCTTGACCCCAGCGGCTGTGCTAATGTGGCTGCACCGTGGTCCCCACAGCCAGCTCCTCCGCACATGCGTGACCTTCGTGGGCCGATGCCGGCCACCTGCCGGCACCCCGTGCTCCACAGGCGTGGCGGCTCCCAGCGTGGGAGGTCCCAAAACGCCGGCCGAGGCCCTGGTTCCACGTGGGGATCTTGGGGATGCTGTCAGCCACCCAAGGACGTGCCTCACGGGTGGGTCTGACTGCACCGAGCCAGACAGGTCCCCGGGAGCCAGTGCCCCGGAAGCAGCCCCGCGGGCGAAGCAGGGACGGGGTGGGGAAGGAAAGCCGGGCTGCCCGGCCCCTTGACTGGGACAGCTCCGGGGCGCGCTCCCCACGGCACGGCCCGCGGAGGACCTGGCAGGACTGGGCGGAGTTGCCCACCGTGGGGACGCCACGTGGAGTGCCTCTTTCCCCGCTTCTCACCTCCCACCCCTGCCGACCCGCGGGAGCCGCTCCCAAGTAAGGCATCTCACAGCAGCACGCACCTGTCCCCCGTCGTGGGACTGGCTGAGCCGCCAGGAACCAGGCGGAGAGGGCGAAGGCTGGTTAGGTCCCGCCAGCACCGCGTCTGACCATACACAAGCGCGCGCGCGCGCGCGCGCACACACACACGCACACACGCACGCACGCACGCACGCGGGCACGCAGGCGGCTGCCTGGCCCCAGCATCACTCCCCCCGCCCCCACCCCTCTGGAGCAGGGCAGCCACTGTCTGCCGGCTCCTCCTTCCCTGTCAGACCTGAAGCCCACCCCCAATCCCAGGCTGGGGCTGCCCACCCAACATTCTCTAGTCACAGCAGCTGGGTTTCCATGATAACACTTTGCATGATAATGGATCTCCTGAAACCTGGAGAAAAGCCTCCTGGAAACAAGGTGCCCCTTCCCAAGTCTGGGGTCTGGGTTCCCAGGAGGCCGCTGTCCCAGTGGGGATTGGGTTTTCTCTCCTGGGGGAGAGGTGGAGAGATGGGCCAGGCTGCTGCGCCGGAGGGCTTCGAGGGCTGCCTGGGGCAGGTGCCCCGGCGTTGTGGCAGAGCGTGCTGGCCGTGAGGCTGGATGGCCCCACTGGGCACAGAGCACCTGCACAAGGCCACGCGGGAAGCCCTGGCCTGTGAGCCCCGAGCACAGCGTCCTGGAGGCCGGGCCCCACCAAGGAGTCCTCCTGACCCTGACTTGCCGCCCGCAAAGGGCCGTGTGGACAGGGCAGCTCTACACCTGCGCAGGCTAGGGGGCCTTTGCGGCCTCTGACGTGGGACCAGGGTTGTTACGAGGACACCAGGGACCTGTCCGTGGCCCTGGCCCCCAGCCCTTTGCTATCGGGTAAAGCTTTCAGCCCCCCTCCCCCGAGGAGCCGGGAGAGGGCCCTGGTCCAGGACGGGGCTGGGTGCGCACAGGAGGTGAAGTGTCTGTTAAGCTCCGTGCAGGACCTTGTTTAATGTTTCCATCTGACGGAGGACACATTACCATCATCCCATTTTCAGGTAAGGAAACTGAGGCTCTAAATGGTGAACTGCTCTGCCAGCATCCCCCCTCCCCCAGCACGTGGGGAAGAGGTGGGGTCTGGGCTGTGTCCAGGTCACGTGGCGCAGTCCTGGAGGGGCTGGGCGACGGGACCCCACGCCCACTGGGCCCCACCTGCGGGCGCTCCACGCCCTGGGCCTGGCCCTGGCCCTGCAAACTGCGGAGCCTGCTTCCCGGGGGGCAGGGGGGCCCTGCCGGGTCCGGGGCAGCCCTCCGTCCCATTGCTTCTCCCCAGGCCGACTCGGGGCTGCCCTGCCCAGCCACACAGGCTGCCTCCCCGCTCCCAGCAGTGACCCAACCAGGGTACGGATCGCAGGGCCTGGCACTGACCCTGCCCAGGAAGATACTGAAGTGAGGGCTACTGCCCACCCCGCCAAGGCCAGCGTCCCCCCGCAGGGAGCCTGCAGCCAGAAAGGAGCGGGTGAGCGAACCCCCCAAGGGGCCGGCTACTCACCGGGCCGCCTGAATGACGCCAGAGCTGGGGGAGACGCTGGCTATGGTCCTGGCTGCCGTGCACCAGGTGAGCACCGGCCCCAGGGCCCCAGGGGCCAGGCCCACAGGCTCACTGCAGCATCAGAAGCCCTTGAGGTCACAATCAGTGACACTGCAGCCACTAAGCCACGTGGCTTGGAGTCCAGCCTGAAGGCTTGCTGGCCGGGGCATGGCCGTGAGGGCGGCTTGCGTGAGGGCTGGGCTGGCGGGCGTTCCAGCTTCGAGGACCCCGGACGGGAGCACCCACACCTACATGTTTGGTGGCAGAGCCCCCTAGCCCTCCTTAAGACGAAGTGCAAGAGAAGGCCTAGAAATAGCGAACGACTCGCCCTGGCTGCAGAAGAGCTCCTCTTCTGGCTGACCTTGGCTGAGCCCTAGCCGCAGCCCAGGAACCGTCGGGCTGGTTCAACGCAGGGGAGTACGGTTGGTTAGGGCGCAGCTCCGGGGCCTGCTGCCCCAGGAGGCCCCTCCAGGCTCAGAACCGTCAGGGTCGCCACTGGACTAGCAATGGCGAGCGTGGCCAGGGCGCCTGTGTCCCAAATGGGGACTAGAGGAGAGGCAAATGGTGTAAAAAGCATAGGCCTCCTCCTGCCCTGATGTCCTAGGCCTTTATCTGCGAGCGAACACGTAGGGATCGTGTCAGCTGGGGTCCCCGGAGCAGCCCTGAGATGGGGGTTCTAGTCGAGGGACCTGCCGAGGGAGGGACGCAGGACAGGGCAGGTCTGAGCTGCCGACTGGTCCCAGGGGAGCCCTGCAGGGACCTGCCTGGAGCTGTTCGTGCCCTGAGGTGGGGGCAGCCTTTCGGGCCCGGGCGGTCACGCCTGGCCTGGGGCCTGTGGTGTCCCGTCCCCGGGCGAGCAGTGCCGGGGACGCCAGCCTGGTCCAGAGGTCCGCGCAGGCCCAACCTCGCGGTCACAGAAGAGAGGGAGAGTGAGACGGAGGAGGAGGTTTACAGAGACGGCCGTGCTCTCGGGAGACTCCCAGGAGCCTGGGAGGGAGGTGGATGGGTCCACACGGGCATCCAGGGCTGTGCAGGAGCCAGACTTGCCAGCAGGCTGTCCACAGCCTTAAGCCTGATTTAGGTTCCCTTGACTCTTCTCTGGGCCACAGCGTCTTGGACTACAGCTTAGAAGGAGCAGCAGGGGAGCGTCGGCACAGCGTCGGCACGGGCTGGGGCCCAGGGCCCTGTCGGCCCCTCTGAGCTCACACAGGGGTTGGGTCTGTGAAGGACTGGGCTGGCCGTGGGCGTGCCAGGTGAGAGCCCGGCCTCAGCCCGACTCGCCGTGCCACCCTGGGCACACACGACCTGATCGCTCCACCCGCCTCTCTTGCTTTTGCCTCCCCAGTGGAAAGGCGGGTCTGTAAGTGGACCCTGTGTGCATTACTCTGGGTGCCCAACACCCGCCCCGCCCCCGCCCACGGATGCTGCTCCCCGATTGGTTCCTGGCTTAGAGAGTCTTTTAAAACGTAGGCCCAGATGTTCTGACCACAGAAGCAGGCGGCTAGCGTACAGCCCAGGAGGGCACTGCCGCCTGGAACCCTCAACTTGGTGCTGGAGGGGTCTGCTCCCAAGAAAACAAGATTCCCAAAGGGCCCCGGGTGGGCCTCCCACCTAAAGGGCCTTTTAGATGCTGACAGGGGTGCAAACTCAAAAGGAATCTCATAACATGACCTGTTCACTTACTGAACCCGACTGTAAGGAAACAGACTGAGAAGAGAACCACTCAAATAGTTTTAAATTAGGGCTTCCCCGGTGGCGCAGTGGTCGAGAGTCCGCCTGCCGATGCAGGGGACACGGGTTTGTGCCCCGGTCCGGGAAGGTCCCACGTGCCGCGGAGCGGCTGGGCCCGTGAGCCACGGCCGCTGAGCCTGCGCGTCCGCAGCCTGTGCTCCACGGCGGGAGAGGCCACCACGGTGAGAGGCCCGCGTACCGCAAAAAAAAAAAAAAAAACCGTGGAGCGCGTCCGGAGCCTGTGCTCCGCAACGGGAGAGGCCACCACGGTGAGAGGCCCGCGTACCGCAAAAAAAAAAAAAAAAAAAAAGTTTGAAATTACGTTTCACATAATACAGTATTGAGAACTTTTTAATGTTATTCTTAAGATCAACGTGAGAAGTCCAAGCATCTCTCTTGACGTGAGATATTCTGCTCAGTCCAGTGACACGAAGAGGAGAGCGGCCAGGCGGTCACTGGGGGGAGGCAGAAGGGGGCGAGGCGGTCTGCCGGCGGCTGCAAACGCGCCCACGGGAGAAGGTGGCGCACTAGTGCTCTGCGGCAGCACGGGGGCATCCCAGACGCCCATGCACTGACGATGCCCACTTTACAGTCAGTTTCATAAAAGAAAATATTTCCGTGGACTCAGCAAAGCAAGGGGATAAAAACACTAGCGACCAGGAACATGGACTTAGATGAGTTGTGTGATTAAAAGGTCTGTCGGGGGAGCTGATGGGGAAGAGGTCAGTCTTGGCTCACCTGGCGGCTCCGAGCTAAGACATCAAGGACGCAGCGTGGCTGCCCCTCCCCGTCAGCCAGGCAGGTGGACGGCACTGCTGCTGTCCCGGCTCCTTGCCCCGACACTGTCCCCGGGCTCACCCGAGAGCATGCCGTGTTCACAGAAACGGGAGCGGGACAAGGAGAGCGACAGCAGCGGCTTAGCCTCAGCGGCCCTGCTGCGTGATGTCCAGCCCCGATGACTTCGTGATCTCCAAGGTGGTGAACACCTGCCCACGGGAAGGAAACAACACGAATTCACACTCAGCTGTCGGTACTTGAGCTCTGCTCTAAGAAAACACGTCCGGAATGTGACATCAACATCATCCTTTAAGGCATACAAAGCAGTTATTAACATAAGATTTGTCTATTGACAACATGCTTCATCACAGTTTTCCAAACCACACCGAGTCCGTGTCTACAAGCTCCTGTGTCCGTACCTGTGCACACGTGGGGTGGATCCCAATGGTGTCGTCCAGCAGCTGCTTTGTGAGCCCACATTTCATGGCGGCTGCAAATCCTTGGGTGACCTCACCGGCCTTCGGTCCAAGGACGAGAGATCCTATTACCCGACCCTCCAAAGCGGAGCCGGAGGTCACGGATCTGAAGAGGGACCTCGTCATCCCAAGTTCACCGTTGAAACTGGCACAGCAACTCCCACAGAAAAGCGCCTCTAATGCTGAACTGAGCAGAGAACGGCACCACGAAACCGTGCCCGTGAGAATCTGCTAGGTGAGCCAGTAAATGTACATCCCGTGTGAACACGCACTCAGATTTACCGGAACGGGCAATTAGCGTGCTGCACGAAGGATTCTGTTAGTATGATGGACATTTCTGCATTACACTGAGAGAGAGCTAAACGACAACACGACAAATCCCAACTAACAGCCGGTGCTGGAATAAGGCTAAGTTCGGAGGCAGCAGGTGCTACTCCCAGCCCAGGATGCAGGCTGCCAGTCTCCAAGTCGGCTCAGCAGACACCGAGGAGTGGCTGGAGGCCCCTGCACCCCACCCCAGGGACCGCGAGCCGTAAGGACGCGCGGCTCTCGTCCCTGCGCGCGTGCGGGCCCGGGGGACGCGGGTTCGTCCCTGTGCACTCCCAGGACTCAGGCTTCCTCTGTCCATGTTTTCTCATCACTTTTCTTCATCCAGAGCTTCAGGGTTAACGTGCACAAGGTGAAGAGAGAGGGCACGACAGGCGGCAGGAGCCTGCACCCCCCACTCTCCGGGCACCTGCGGCAGGTGGGCAAACGGATACCCCGTGAGCTGCGCTCCCAGGGGGCCGTAGACGGGAACCTCTGAGGGGTGCACGTGCAGCAAAGTGGGAGAAGGAGTGGCCCAGAGAAGGGGAAGCCACTAATTAATGAAAGTGAGGAGCTTCTGAGAGATGGAAGCCTGTCCGCGATTTTCAGCATAGCTCCAGGAAGACAGTGAGTGGTGGGGTGACACTCCAGAAATGGAAATTTGAACAAAAGTAAAAGAAAGGGGCAGTAGGTTACTGCTCACTGACAACGCACCTGGTCACCCAAGAGCTCTGATGGAGATGGACAATGGGATTAATGTTGTTTTCGTGCCTGACAACACAGTATCCTTTCTGCAGCCCACAGATCAAGAAGTAATTTGGATTTTCAAGTCTTATTATTTAAGAAATACACTTTGTTAGGTTGTAGCTGCCATAGACAGTGCTCCCTCTGATGGATTTGGGCAAAGTAAATTGTAAACCTTCTGGAAAGGACTCACCATTCTAGATGCCATTAAGAACATCTGCGGGACTTCCCTGGCGGCCCGGTGGCTAGGACTGCGTGCTTCCAGTGCAGGGGGCACGGGTTCCAACCCTGGTCGGGGAACTAAGATCCCACGTGCCTCACGCGCACGGCGTGGCCAATAAAAATTAAGAAAAAAAAAAAAGAACGCTTGAGATTCATGGGAAGAGGTCAAAATATCCAAATTAAGAGGCGTTTGGAAGAAGCTGACTCCAGCCCTCCTGGATGACTTTGAGGGGTTCGAGACTTCACGGAGGAAGGACTGCAGACAAGGTGGGAACGGCAGGGGAACTAGAACTAGAAGTGGTGCCTGAAGATGGGACTGAATGGCTGCCCTCTTGCGATGAAACTTCGGAACGGATGAGGGGCTGCTTCTTATGGATGAGCAGAGAGAGTGGTTTCTTAGCAGGGAATCTACTCCTGGTGAAGAGGCTGTGAAGAGAGTTGAAACGGCAGCAAAGGCCTTAGGATATGACACAAACTTCGTTGATAAAGGAGCCGCGGGGTTTGAGAGGATTGACTCCAGTTTTGAAGGAAGTTCCGTGGGTAAAATGCTGCCAAACAGCATTGCTGCTCCAGAGAAATCATTCACGAAAGGAAGAGTCCACCAGTGTGGCGAACTTCATGGTGGCTTTGTTCTCAGAAATGGCCGCAGCCATCCCAGCCTCAGCAGCCTCCATCCTGATCAGTCAGCGGCCGCCAGCACTGGAGGCAAGACCCTGCACCAGCAGAAGGGCTACAACTGGCTGACGCTCCGGTGATGGTCAGGGTTTTTTTTAGCATATTTTAAAATTAAGGTCGTACATTTTCTTTTTAGACATAACGCGATTGCACACATAATAGACTACCGTATAGTGTAAACATAACCTTTATAAGCACTGGGGAACCAAAGAATTTTGTGGCTCACGTTACTGCAAAACTCGATTTATTGCAGTGGTCTGGGAACCTAACCACAACACCTTCGAGGTATGCCTGTATTTCCAAATGTACACAAACATACTCCTTACATTCCATCACTGATGACCCAAATTTTCACAGATCCTGTAGCTCTAAACTGCCAAGTTAGACAGCTCTGGAGTGACACATTCCGATGACTCGGAAAAGGTAAGTCACTGCCCAACTGTCACTCTTCAAACACAGTGCCTGGGTAACAGTTTCAACGATTTCCACCTGGCCCTTAGAGCTATCTTTAAAGAGATTATAAAAACCCAAATACTAGAATAAAAGATCTGTTTTACAATTAGAACGTTCCTGCTTCCAACCGTATGACGTACATTGTCGAATTTACTGCAGATAATCTTTGCGTAACAGGTGTTGCTGTCTCTGCAGGCCACTGTCCACTCGAGAGGCCAGAACAAAGTGTGGTAGACCTGCAAGAGAGAGGCCAAGGTCGGTGTCCATGGAGACCGCCGCTTGACAGGCTCCTTATTATACAAAGACGACAATTTCCATACCAGCTCTCAGAAATTTAAACTCGCATGATCCCAGCTTATGAATCTGACGGGAGCACCTGGGCGAGCTCCTAACTGCCAGCTGCAGAGGATGTGACCTTTGCTTTGCTCTGCCGTTCATCCCAAAACATCTCCGATTAACTAACTTCGGTTCTCAAGCACCTAGAGGGCTACTCTCCAAGCAGCCAAGGCTCCAGGCCCTGTGGGGCTGAGACAGTAAAGCAAGCCTTGGGTTCTGCCCTCCATCGGTTCACACGCCTCCTGGGAGGTTCATATTCAAACCAAATCCAGGAGGAGCAGAAGCCACAAGACCGTCCAGACACCCACGGTATGAGGAACACTGCCCCCGCCACCTGCAGGCCCCCCTCCGCCAGAGCCCAGGGTACCTCGAAGGCTCCCAACCTGCTCAGGCCTCAGGGACGGACCACACAGTGTCCGTCCCCTCATCCCCTCGGGGCAGCTACACGTCCCGGTGGCCCTCCGCCTAATCCCTCCACACCGAAGGCGGCGGATCTGTGTGCACTGCCAGGATGAGAATGTGTCCTCACCTGTCCCCTGCAGTGCAGGGGCTGACGTACTGGGTCTTTGTTCTGTAACAGGATTGTGTGTTTCACAGTTGGAATGACTGTCTTCATTGTTTTTATAACAATGATCCACGGTTATTAAAAGAATAACACAGTGCAGAGAATTACAAAGCAAGTGGGAAAAAACATCCCACTGTCCAGAAATAACCGTTTTAAAAGTTAAGGAAGCATCAGTGGTTAATGCATACGTAGTTGAAATGACATTTTTGTTTAAAACACATCATAGTTCACAGCTACTTGTAACAAAAAACATTAGGGTTAACGTGAAACATTAGGTTTAACGTGTATTTAACAGAAGAGAAATAAACTCTTCCTCATATTTTAATACAAACTTGCCAATCTCTGTGGCTATTATTAGGGACAGAAGACAAATGCTTCTTTATCTCGAGAGAGTATATTCCTAAAATACACCCCTAAGGCTAAGAAAAGAAATGGTGCAAACTCCAAGGTTTTAAACAGGATTTCTGAAACTGCAGCCTCCTGGCTCTGTTGCGCCCTGAGCCCCTGCACCCACACCCTCCCGCTCCTTTCCTCGTGTGTGTGAGCTGTGTTTTTCCTCCTAGTACTTGCGAGATTTTACTTTAAGTTTCTGATCCTTCTGGTTCAAGGTGGGTGTGAAGCGTGGACCCAACTTCATATTTTCCCTGAAGGCTGCCCCTTAGACTCCAGCACCCTTAAATCAATGTCCTTTCCCACAGATTTAAAATACCACCTTTACCACACGTTAATTCTTCTAAGCACTTGAATCAATCTGGGCTCCAAATTCTGTCCCCCTAATCTTTCTGCCCACCTGCGTGCCACTCCGGCGCAAGTCTAATTACTGTAGTTAGCGGATACATTTCAGTCTCTGACAGGACTGGTCTCCCCCCAGTACTCTCCTTATTCAGAATCACCCTTGGGAATTCCCTCGCGGCCCAGTGCTTAGGTGCTTTCACTGCTGAGGGCGCAGATTCGATCCTGGTCGGGGAACTGAGATCCCCCACGCCGCGTGGCAAGAGGCCAAAACAAACAAACAAAGAATCTCCCTATGATTGTCTTTTTTAGAAGTTTTAATCTCTTAATCAAATTATGCTCACTAACTGCAAATTTTCAAAGCTCTGTGATGAACCCAGCCACCTGGGCCGCCCGGTGCCCCTTTAATCAGTCAGCACAACCACCTGCACGTTGTGCGTGCGGTCGTTCGCCCCCCGCCCCCCCCCCCCCCCCCCCGCCT